GTACATTTATGCAGGCAACAAACAAGATAAAACAGTTTAATATGTAATTCAGTGCTTTGGGGCAGAGGTTGCAATAATCAAGATATCACTCGATGAGGCTGTAAATGTCTTAGTTCATTTTTTCCTCTGGATCAGAAGGAACAGAATATTTTTATAAATACTTATGATATTTTTGAATAGCCCTTTAAAATAAAATGACTATCATGTTTAGACATTTGACATATCAGAATGTTTCCAGGTTGCACAAAACTTTTAAAGAAATATCAAAGTCTAAAATAAATCCAAATCCGATTATATACAACTGTCCTAGAAACAATATAGCACATTTTACATTGTAAAGACACTTTTTAAACTAGAAATTGTCTTCCGAAACTGAAAAGAATGGGTGTGCGTGGTTGGCTTCACATGTTATTATAATCCATATTAGTAAATTGTATGAATTCAGGGACTGAAGCTTGTTTCTCGTGGCTGATGTCATAGTATGTTATGTCAGTTCAGCAAATTTATTTTGGCCTGTAAACCATAGTTAAACAAGCCATGGGTTAATGTGATACGTATATGTGGGTGTAACGGAACTTCTTTTGTAAAGAAAAGCTTTACAATTAAACATAATAGTTGCTCAGTTTTTTACTGAATACAGCTGAGTATTATTTCTCATTCTCAGTCTTACCAGTAGTTCCTCACAAACGCAGTGTGACATTAGCACCTCAAACTCACACAATATTTTAAACAGTGTTTTAACGGGGGAAATAATGGACTTCTAATTACTGCATATATGGCATTACAGGTAGTCCTTGACTTACAACAGTTCGCTTAGTGACTGTTGGAAGTTACAATGGCACTAAATAAAGTGACTTATGACTGTTTTTCACACTTATGACCATTGCAGCATCCCCCCATGATCATATGATCAGAATTCAGACGCTTGAGAACTGATTCATACTTATGCTGGTTGCGGTGTCTCAGAGTCATGTGATTCCCTTTTGTGACCTTCTGACAAGCGAAGTCAATGGGGAAGCCAGATTCACTTAACAACCTATTACTAACTTAAGTGCAGTGATTCACTTAACAACTGTGGCAAGAAAGATCATAAAATGGGGCAAAACTCACTTAACAAATATTTAGCAACAAAAATGTTGAGCTCAGTTGTGGTCGTAAATTGAGGACTACCCATATAGAGATGACTTACTAGTTAAAATTGAGTACCATCTTCAGTACATAATCATTTTTGTAAGAAGTACGTAATTTAAACAACAACAAAATGAATAAAGACTAAATATCTGGTCCCGGTGACCGACCCAGTTTGGAGCTTGCAAAATGAATAAATGTAAATTTTTTTAAAATATATTTCTTTGGATATTATATTTCTTCCTAACCTTTCCTCCAGGAGCTCAAGATAGCATTCAGTGCTCGCCTTGGATATGTTGAATTGAATTTTAATAAACCCAGTTCAAATCCAATACTTGAACCACTTACCAAAGCCACCAATGAATATGTTGTATGTGTTTCAAACGGGATCAAACTAGCTCCGCACATTTAAAAAGATCAGGTTTTGTATTATAAGAAGAATCTATATAATCCCACTAGATCTCAACACAGTTCCATAATAGGTCTCTTAACTCTTTCAAGGCATGAAAGTACTGATGGATTGGCAGATGCTAATGGCTGTGTTTCCATGCTTGTTTTTTTTTTTTGTACAGGCTATTCGAAGTTTCCAGATTGCCTTGCATATCTATCCACTCAACTCTGAATTGTGGAACGAAGATCTTTCCTGGGCAAAAAAATTACAACAACAGAAAAAAGCAACCAAAACTGAGACAGGAACACAGGGGTCTGAGAACGAAACTTTGGAGGAGCCAATTCCAGATTATGACTTTGAAAGTGATGAGATCCTGGCTGTGTGTGCTGCCATTGCTGAAAAAGAAAAAAACACTTCGACCTCTAAAAGTGTAGTGATTGTATCAGCTTCAGGGACTGTTGAGACTGTAACCGAACAAGAGGAGTCTACAACGCTCCCTGACGGTTCTGTGTTTATCAAAGCACGATAATCCACATGGCCTCTTCCTGTAACAGTCATAAATTTGAGGAGTGGCTGCTGCTGCTGTTGTTCTATTTGCTTTCCCTTCTTGAATCACTGAGCAGTGGAGATCCCCATTCCTTCACATTAAACAGGGGCAATGTGTCCTGTAGGGCCAGAGGAGGCAGAATTTGGAAAACTGAACATCAGTAATTTCATTGCTGTTCTTCCCAGATTGAATGCTACTTTGAACAACACCTTTGCAAATTTGGCGCCTTCCTAATGCCACAGCTTACAAGTCCCACAATCCACAGATAGCATGGTTCATGGGGATGATGGGTGAGGTTCATGTAAGGTGAAGTACAATCCACCTCCGAAAAGACATCTCCATTGTAGAAACCTGGTGTTCAATATAGAAAGAAAGAAAAAAAAACCAGAACGTAGCATGTCTGGAAATAGTGGCTTTGAAAATAGGAACTGGAAGTGTTGGGTCTGTATATATTTACACTGCCAAGAATTACAAAACTGGAATGGCTTTGTAAGCTTGCTAGCAATCCACTAACATCTGTTCTTACTGTGATAAAGCAAAGCAGGGGATGAGGCAAAAACTTCACGTGCTTATACAGTTGTGGTACGGAATGTGCTGAACATGTTTCAGTCTATATAGTCTTTTGAGTCAAGGTCATTCTGTTATCTTAATGTAGAGACTCTCAGATGTAGTTCTCAGATGCTGCTTTGAACACAAGATATTCTCCTTGTTTTTCCAAATCCAATTATAAAATACTGTTATGTTCATGCCCTCGAATCATAAGATGGCCTTTATGCTTCCCACTATGAACTTTTAAAGAGGGATTATTTTAATGAAGATACAGGTATTCCTTATTTAGTGATGGTAATTGGGATCAGGAACTCCATCACTAAGCTACACAATCATGAAGCGCAATGTCATGTGACCATGCCGACTTAAGATGGCAGTTTTGGCTATTCCAGTTGCTGCTGTCGGGTGCAGTCGCAGCATCCTGTGTCATGTGATCACCATTTGCAACCTGCCACCTTCCTCATTGACTTTGCTTGTTGCAAACAAGCAGTAAAGGTCACAAATGGTGATCATGTGACTTAGGGATCCTGTCAGGTCATAATTGCAAACTGGTCGTCAAGTGCCTGAATTATAATTACGTGCCCGTGGGGAGGGGGGGCTGCAATAGCTGCAACCCCTTGTAAGTGCCCCTCATTTAGCACTGTTATAATTGCAAACAGTCAGTGAACAAGTAGATATTAAATGAAGTCTATCTGTATCTTGTTAAGAAAAATCTGTGTATTTCCAGGGCATAATCCCCCTGCTTCAAAACAAATTAAAAAAAAATAAGCCCATACTGATTTTAATCTTTAATCAAAGAAAAAAAGAAAGATGAACTGCAGTGGAAGCCATTTCTAACAGCAGTTTAAAATAATATAATTGAAATTGTGCATATTTAAACATGTCTATTGCAGGATAATGTTGCAATCAGACTTTAGAAATTCCTTTTAAAGGATTATTTCAGTCCTAAAATAAAACATAACATGCTGTAAAGAAACAAATCACAGAGCTTTTAGTATTTTGCTTGTGTAATGGATATTCAATCTAAAATCCTGTGAATGGGCAGTATGAAAATGCTGTGGATAAATTAATATGTCTAAGCCATCACTCAAGATGAGAAATGCAAAGAGGGGGGAACCACAAAAACATTCTTTTTAGGGACAGTTTGTTCTGCTTCTTTAGAGTCTTGTTTAATCCATGTTTGATGCCTTTCTGGAATATTCAGTGGGGAGAAAAGTATGTGTATAATTATGCTTCTTATGGTAAATCTGGCAATTCCTGTCTAGTTCTTATAAATAAGTTCTATGCATAGCATTTCCTAGGTTTAATCCAGAGGCTTTGTTGGTGGCCTCAATAAATTTCTTAAAGCAGAGGAAGTATTAGTCCAGCAGGAACAATTGGTACATTTTACAGAGTTGGTTATAATCGTTTGAAGCAGTGTTTGAAGATCGTGAGTTTTTCTGTCTTGCCCTCATCCTCCTCCAGATTCATATGAAAAACTTTTCATAAATGTAATTTTCATAAATTGCCACACAAATCAAACCTTGGACATAGACTATTTAAGCCTTTCTCATGGAAGAAATTTGTCTGCCATTTATTCAAGACTGTTTTAGCCACCTGTATATATACATAATTCCAGTATTTCCATTTACTTTAAATAATCGTATCCAACTGTACATAGTACAGGTAGTCCTCGACTTACAACAGTTCGTTTAGTGACCATTCGAAGTTACAACAGCAGTGGAAAAAGTGACTTATGACCGTTTTTCACACCTATGACTCTTGCAGTATCCCCCATAGTCACATGATCAAAATTTAGAGGCTTGGCCAACTGACTTATATTTATGCCGATTGTGGTGTAGTGATTCTCCAAAGCGCCCGAAGGCAGGACAAGAAGCAACGGATGGAAACTAATGCTCCAACACTGGAAGTTTTTAAGAAGAGACTGGACAACCATTTGTCCGAAATGGTGTAGGGTTTCCTGCCTGAGCAGGGGGTTGGACTAGATGACCTCCAAGGTCCCTTCCAACTTTATTATTATTATTACTTAACAGCTATGGCAAGAAAGGTCATAAAACGGCAAAATTCACTTAACAGCTGTTTTGCTTAGCACAAATGTTGGGCTCAATTATGGTCGTAAGTTGAGGATTACCTGTACTGCATCCTACAAAAAAACAACTCGAAAATGAAATCACTGCCACAGCATTTACAGAAGACAGCCATAGCTCTGACCTGATTCAAGAAAGGCATTTTTGGAGCAGGTGGGTGAGGAGATGGGCGTGCAGTTCTAGAACTTTATAGCTCTTTAAAGGGGCTGTATCTTTCCTCAGAATTGTGTGTCTATCTTGGCAGTTGAACCCTATTTCTGGAAAAGGATGCTTCTTTAAATAGACTGGGGAGGATTTTAGGTAGGGATAATTTTAAAAGTATTTTAATCGGAAACACAGCTGGTAATATTTGGTTTTAATTCGGCTTTTATCGGGGTTTATTTCTTGGATTTTTGTATTTTGTATTTTTTTGTATTTTGTGTATACTATTTGTTTTTAATATGCTGTGAACCGCCCTGAGTCCTATGGGAGAAGGGCGGTATACAAATTAAATTATCTATCTATCTATCTATCTTTTGCGCAATGGCATGGTCTGAAGCACTTTGTGGAATTGGAATCCAGGTTGAATGTAAATAGCATAGCTCTTTTGAGCATATGAAGGCTTTTTCTGTCCATCTTGAATGCTGTTTTTGTCCAGTAATAAAAACTGCTCAGTAGGATGAAACCCCATGTCAAGGCTTTCCTTCCCAATATGTAGCTTTACTGAATAATTTCACGAAGAACTCACTTATTGGTTTGTTTTTTGTTATGTCTTAATTTCCAATGCTGGGTTATGTTTGGCATGCCTAAACTGTTGGTGACTATTCCTGTGTTGTAACCAAACTTTTTCCTGTGTGAACAAAATTTGTGTGTAAATCTATGCAATCTAGAATGGATGTATTCAGTGAGCTTGGTTGATATAACTCAAGAAGAATCCCAGTTCTGTACACAATTCTGGACATAAGGATTTATGGGGTGAAACAGACCTTTTTTATTGAATGCTACCATATCTTTAGGGCTGAGCATTCTATATTTTCTGCCTCTAAATTACTGTTTAGAAATTGTGTGTGTTGGGTTTATAATTATGTGAGGGCCTTCCCATGAAGTTATGTTAAGGATGAGTAAGCAGGCACAGATTCACACCGATTTCTTTACCCAGTGGGCATATCTGCATTTAATTATGATTTCCAAAAGAGGTTTGTGCCAGGACAGCCAGTTTCATAAGCCATCTCTGAAATTCAGCCTCAAAATTCTGATTCCAATGGAAAGCAATTTACATGAAAACCACAATAAGCAACAGAAGATGCTTTTTCCTTGACAAAAACCAGACCTTGAACATCAATACAGGATAACACTGGAACATAAAAATCCAATCCTTTGAACATGGCATATAAAAACATAAATTTTCAGTGGCGTTAGAACTTTTTTTTTAATGGAGAAAAACTTTATGGCTAATGTTTTTCTAATCTTATCTGTCATTGTTTTTAATAAATAGACCACATCATAGTAGTTGCTTTTTCTTTTCAGTTCTAGTCCCCAAATCAGTTAAATTGATTTTTAAAACATAGTCTTTCTTTATTCCAAAAGCATTAGTGCAAACTACAATATTTGCTGTAACAAATGTTAGAAATAACTGAAAGGACACAAAAATAATGGTGTGGTTTTTCATGCTCCAAATTCATTACAACTGAAAATGGATAATTGCAACATACATTCTGAATCACAGAAAAACCAACAACCATCTCTAGAATACTTTGCACATCGGTGTGCACAATAAACATGTTTGGGGTTTCCTGCATTTCTCCATTTCTTCTATAGCAGTCCCACCTCCCAATGCTTGGATATACGACCCCCAGAATTCTCAGCCAACGAAGCTGGTTGTTTGCAAATCTTGATCAGTTTAATACAGGCTGGGGAAGACTGATGTAAATTGTAACCATAGCAAGGATAAATGGAAAAATATTGCTCACGTAAGCATTTGGCAACAATATCTTCATATAAATAGAGTGGACTGAATAGAAGATAAGAAAAACCTTTCAACAGGATGCTTACGAGAATGGTAATGCCATGTACAGCTGCCAATTCCTATATGGACATTGATAATGCAAAGCCTGATGTGTTGCTCATTTGTATGTGTGTTAACATTCGTAGTAAACCTAGGAGTTGCCGTAAGTATACAAAGAGCAGTGGCTGTACAGTTGGCTATGTAAGATAGCCCTAAGATTATGGTCTTTTAAGGGGCTTTCTTCCACTAAATTCTGAAATATCTCTGAGCAAACACATTTTGAATTAAGTAAAAAGGATGTTTGACTGGATGCATGTTTTGGACTTTGATTTTGCACACATGTGAAAAGTGCCTAAATCAGCAAGAATTGTTAATTGTAGGATGTACTTCTGACTAATGCCTCACTGGGGCATCAATACATAGCAGATGTTAACAGAACTGCATTATTAGCTTAGCTAGGAACCATTGCATTTCGAAGACGAAATTCACAGTACATTTTTTTAATTTCTTTTTAAGGATGTGCAGCTCTATAGCTCTGTCCATGAAGTCACTAAGAGTCAAGCTCGACTCAAAAGAAGACTTAAGAAAATATGAGAAACATTTTAAAAACATAAAGCTTTTATTATTCCTATAGTGGCATCAAAACGTATTCCCATGTAATTCCAGATTCCTCGGTCTCCTCTGGTCTCACCAATCAGCTCTCGTCTGGCCTGCAAATTTGAAAAATCTAATGCAAAATTTAACAACTTACATTAAAGAAGAAAGGAGGGGCTGACCATATTATTTTTTTCCTATACTTTGTATTAATAATTAACCTTCTCACAGAGAAGAATATACATTCCTTAAATACAGTCAGTCACAATATTTCAGCCAGAAAAATTCACATTTTTTTCACACCATAGATTATCAGTTCCATATCCACTGGACCAGTTTGTTCCTTCGTTAGCAACTATCTTGCAATTAATTTCTCTGAACTATGAACCAGGAGGGAAGGATGGAGTGGAATAAGTATGCTTCAGTCATGTACAGATGGAGAAGATTGGTGACTTTTTCCAACACAAACTTTGTGAAAACAATCCTATCTCCCAGGGCAAGTTAAGGCAACAAGCAGCAGCCTGTGCTTCAGACACCATTACATTCCTTTGTTACTTTGGCAGGGTTTGATGGCAGAGGATGATTCTCTAGGGCAATAAATCCCTGCAGAAACCTGTGCTTATCACATAACAGGAAAGATCCAGCAGCCGCATCTTGGAACCAACCTTGAGGGAGATGTAACTGCTGCAAATCAAGATGCTTAACTCTGATGGTGGCTAGTTCAATGTCTCACATGGATTCCTGCCTGATGCACATTTCCAAGTCCATCTTGCCCTAAGTGGCTATTTTGTCCCCAAGCTTAGGATAGGGAAATCCAGATAAGCTTCAGGTATATGCCTTAGCTAGGTCAACAGAACGGACGGCAAAGATGGGCATTTGGTATATTCTGTTGTATCAGTTCCTCCCTGCTTGGCTTAAGGACCAATTGTCTCTTCTTTCTACTGCTTATATACACTTCTCTGACAAGTCCAGAGTTTCACTGGGAAAAGTGACTTGAAGGGAGCTGCCTTTAGGAGTGCTACTACCACTAGGCTTTAGTTCACTCACCAAAAAGGTATTTTCACACTCTTGCCCCTGCGAGGAGTCTGAGGTGTTTGAACTCCTTAAGGTCCTTATAGATGTAGTATCTGATTGAGCAAGACAGCTGCTGGTTCCCGGTAACAGCGTTCGGTCACCGACCGTCCTTTCACTTGGCTCCAGCGGGTATAGCAGAGTCTGTGAAGTGCTACTGATCTCCCTCAACTCTCGGGAGATGAAGGAGGGTGAGTGGCTGGCTGTGACAGAGGAGGTCCGGCGGCCATCGGCCCAGTTGCAGTTGTTGCCTGAGTGCTGCCGGCGAGCCCCACCTATGCGGCAGAAAAGACACTTGACCTTCTCAATAGCTTTGCTCAAGACCGTCTTGCGCAGCAGAATGTAGACCCATGGATCCAGGATGGGGTTCACCGAAGCTATACGGATAGCTTGTAAATCTGGGTTCTGCTGGATGTCTTTTACTACATCTGGACGGTACAGTTGATTCACAAAGACACGTACCTGGAGAAGGAATGAATACATGTGTAAATAAACTCTATTCATAATTTGATGGCTGACTTTTCAAGGCTAAGAGTTGGCTTAGCATCTGACTGTTATAACAGGAAGGGAGATGGGAGAATGGGTAAAGTACATGGCATTCTGCAATGTCAGATGGGAGCTATTTTCAGAATGGGAAAAAATTTCCAGCCACTTGATTTCAAATAGAGATAAAAGACCTTTCCCCTTTTCCAGTCTATCTAAGTTACCAGAACACTCAAAGGTCAATTAACCTTTTGTGAATTATTTTCTGAAAAACTTGCTGTCCCTACTGTATTCTGAATCCTGAATTTAGAGCTCAGAGGTTTTTCAGAGTTTTCATTTTCATTTAATAATGAATTCTTTTGTTCCTTCTATAACCAAATCTGCTATTAAGTGTGTTGGATGTGCACGGAACCACAAAATGTGCCCGTGAGCCATTCTGGGAGATCCAGCCAATCATTAAAAGCTCTAATCCCACTACCCCTTGCCAGCCCACCCCCGTAAATACATGTTTGGAAATAAAATTATAGCTATTTTTCTACCTCACAGGCAAATTTTCTTTCAAGGATGGGCCTAGAACTATGGATTCTTTGAGGTTAGAACACAGCTTTTGCTGGAAGACTTGAACATTCAAGAAAAAGTTGTTGCTTTTTTAATATCTTCCAAAGTTTGCCTGTAGTAGCTTGTTAAAAGTTATTTTCTTGACAAACAGCTTTCCTGGAATGAAGTTCTTTTTTTTTTCTCCAAATAAAGAACATGATGATGCACAGTACTCAGTTATGCTCTTGACAGTCTTTGCTGCCACTTTGGCAAGTCCTGCTAAAATACATTACAAAAATGCTGGCTGTAATCCCATGAATAGTTTTAACAAATGCACAGGATATCAGTCCGTAGAAAGTGAAGCCCATGTAACCGTTTCCATAGGTGGCTTGTTGATTGGTTTATTTATTTTATTTATATTCTGTCTTTATTAATTTTATAAACAATAAGAGCTAACATCTAACACTGTTTCCTTTTCCCATTTCCCTCACAACAACAACCCTGTGAGATGAGAGAGAATGATTCATCCAAGCATAAGGCAGGACTTCAACTAACGGGTCTCTCTGTTTCTAGCCCGTGCCTTAGCGACTGGACCAAACTGGTTCTTGTTTCAGCAAAAAGTTTTAAATTTCAGATGTCTATGGAGATTCTCAGTCATGGTTGTCCCAAAGGTGCTTCCCCCCCACCAAAAGGCAACTGGACTTGGTTTTTTTGCTTGAAGAGATTTTGCTTCTCATCCAAGAAGCTTCTTCAGAACTGAAGAAGCTTTTTGGATGAAAAGCAAAATGTCTTCAAGTAAAAACAAAGTCCAGTTGCTTTTTTTGGGGGGAAAAGCACCTTTTAAAATTTAGATGCTTTTGTGTAGAGACTGAACCTTCAACCTGGAAGTTGAAAATAGCCCCAAACTCTTTCTTGTGATCCTCAATGCATTCCACTCAAATTCAACAGCAATTTACCAAATATCAGAAACACTATTTCCTGCTGAATTTAGTTGCATGAACAAAGAAATCAGATACTACCCACAACTTAAATTAAAAACAACAAAAGTCCCGAAAAACATCAATGCCCATTTTGCGTGGCATTGATATGTTGCATTTCTCCTGTGTCCTTTGACAGACAGCCAGACTCAGAAGTCGACACCTGAGCCTTGCAAAAGACATGGCTGTTTTAGTGATACAATGAAACGTGATTTGTATGTGTGCTTGTGTGTTGCAAAACAGCTCTTTCAAATCCTTTGCCCAGCCCTAATTTGTGAGCCTGCTAACTGAAATAGATTTCCAGACTCCTCTATAATTTTTAAAAATTAGCATGTGCTTGTTAGCACAACACAACCTGAAAGTATTGATCACTGTACTGCATATGAAGTGGAGTCTGAATATGTCGAAAAATGTTTGAAATTTTGCATTTCATACAAGCCCAAAACCCCTGCAGAAGTCCTTAAAAAGTTGGGTGACTTTAATGAATGGCAGAGAGGTCCTGTGTGGAAGATTCAAAGGACTTCTGAATCATATTCCAAGGGTGCGCATCTGGGAAATAAGCTGGACTTTTGCAACTAAGTCTGGGTTGCAGTTGTGAAGGGCACATAAGGACTGTGAGATATGCCATGTCCATCTCCCAGGCTGAAGGAAAATTGCTGACTGCAGAGGAGAGGATCCGGTAGGGGATTTCTCCATTTCTTGCCTACAAGTTTCAGAGATTGGCTTCTTCAGCAATGGGAAGTTCCAAGATCAAAAATACCAGAAGTGGGAGAGTCTACCTAACTGCCCTTCCTTTTATTTTTATTTTTTTTCCAAAACAGGAACTCTTTTAATTTGTAATTCACAAAACTGAATAATGATGGAGTTTTCAGGACTGTCCAGTGCTTTTGCAGCAGTGGAGAAAATAAGCACTTGAGTGCTCAAAAACAGCAGTCTCTGATCCAGTATGACTGGTGGGTAAACTGCAGATTAAGCTCTGTTTCAAATCTAAACTCTTGCTAGGTGAAGTTATGCAAACAGCAATATCTACCACAGCTGCCTATAAGTACAACATGTAAAAATGCTGATCTTTCTGCTCCCATTCTCAGCCTTTTGTACTTCGCCATGTTGGAAACAAAATACTTCCCCCCCCCCAGAAACTATATTTACTTTAAAATATTACTGGATGTACTGCATGTAAAACAGCATGCAAAGGTTATTTACTGTATATTCCTGTCCCTGCAACCAGGCATTCTGCCTCTCAAGCTTGAGAGTTGGAGTTGCTTGAGTTGAGACTTCAAAGTTGAGTTTAGTTCATTTCATTTCATTTCATTTCATTTTATTCAATTTGTATCCCGCCCTTCTCCCGAAGGACTCAGGGCGGCTCACAACATTTTTTTAAAAAACAAAGACAAACCCACACACCCCACCGAATAAAACCAAATTAAAACCAATATTTTAGTGTTGTGGTAATTAAAATTTCTAAGAAACCCAATTTAAAAATCCTCCCTANCTCGGGGGGTAGTTCGTTCCAGAGGGCAGGGGCACCCACAGAGAAGGCCCTCCCCCTGGGGGTCACCAGTCGACATTGCTTGGCCGACGGCACCCTGAGGAGACCCACTCTGTGGGAGCGTACCGGTCTATGGGAGGGAATCTGTGGCAGAAGGCGGTCTCGGAGGTAGCCAGGTCCTATGCCATGGAGCGCTTTAAAGGTGGTAACTAACACCTTAAAGCGCACCCGGAAGGCCACTGGCAACCAGTGCAGCTCACAGCTAGTTGAGTTGAGACTTAAAAATAAAAGCATGATTTCCACTCTGCTGGTTGTGACATTGGACTTAAGACTAGCAATCCTGCACAGAAAAAACTTCCAAGCTTTCCTCCCACTCATTATACAGGTTGCCATCATCCATATGCACACCTTCTTTACAAGACAAAGCAATAATATTTGTGAATCTTTTAAGTATTAGAAAATATGGAGTACATTATATTTGTTTTAACTAAGGCTGTAAGCTTTCATACTAAATCATGGATATCTATGCTAATCAAAAGAACTGGAATTTACATTCCTATAGGGATATGTGGATACTGGCACATGACCATAGCAAGGAATGAGAAAGAATTTTTTTTCTAATAATCAATGGTTTTTATTAAACTGTAAATCATTGTAATTGCAATTAATATTATGAACATATATATCCAAGAACAATCCTTCTAGCATGCTTTTCTCATTCATTTTCATGTTTGCAACTTTCAGGATAAGCAAATATTACCGAATGCTATTTCAGCACTTCGAATTTTAATAATTGAGTTATACAACTGGCTGATACCACCTGAAATGTACATTTATTAATCTTTATGTGCTAAAAGATTTCTTCTTTAAATATGACTCTTAGATCTTGTACGTGAGTTGACTGAGTCCAATTATATTTTTGCTAATCAACTGACCAGAAATTTAATTGGCTGAATATAAATGATCAGATTTATAACCACTAGATGGCACAATAACTACATTTCTAGTAGTTTCTTCTCTCTCCTGCTATCTAATTTGAGAAAGCATGAAAAAGAAGTAAGACAGTTGATTACTATACAATCTTGTTCTGAATCGTGGGATCAAACCCAACATTTGGTGTTATATAAGATAAAAGTGGTGACAAAAATAAACAAAAATAATTTAATTGAACAGATTTAGAATATGCAAATTGAATGTACAGGTCTTTCATCTAATTCAGAGTACCAACTGAAGTAGTAATTAACTTTTATTAATTTATCTATATATTTGTTTATTTATTACTATAGCTTAGGTTAGACAATCCAAAATAATGTTCTGGGAATCTCTACATTCTTTTCAATGAGACTAGTTAATGGTGAGACAATTTTTAAAACGTTTTCCATCATTTGTGATAGAATATGGCCCTTTAAGCCCTCACAGAAATTTCACAGCAAAAGCTCAATTCTTCTTCAGTAGACCAGTTGCTACAAGAAATGTTCCATAGAGGTAGACATCTCAAAAACAATGACCTGGGGAAGTAATTCTTCGCCTACGCTTCTTTGCAATTCTTTGCAATTAACATTTTCAGTGGGGAAAATAAAGGCTTGCCAAAGACTACAGTACATACCTGCAATTCCCAACAAACAGGAATTGAAGATACACCCAATTCTGAAAATCAGTCCAATCCAATGGAGTATTTGCACTGTCTAGTTGCACATTGATAAAAGAAATTAAAATGAAGATTAACCAAATTCCTCCCTCTCTCCCTTCAAAAGCTACATTCTATCTTAAAGTTATATGATTCCTGGGCTATTCTTTCTTTTTTGGGGGTTTCATCAAAGATGGAGCTTCAGTGTTTGGGAAAATCTAACATTACTACATGGAAGACTAATTTGATCAAGGCTAAAGGTAATATGTGAAGAACCAGTAGAAATTCCTCCTTTTTACCTTATGGCAGATTCCCCTATTTTGAGGGATGTTGTACAACTGCCATGGTT